ACTACAAGGAGCCGGCCCCGACCGCCGCCTCCTCCTGGAAGCTCAACTTCAACTCCCCGGACTGCCTCGACTACAAAGACCAGGCCTCCTGGCGCTTCCAAGTCCTGTGAGGTCTGCAGCGGCACCTGCCCCCCGTAGCGCCCCCTTTCTTCTCGGTTCCTCGGGACGGCCTCTTTTTCGTCTTGCAAGCGCTCTCCCTCTCGGTTCACTCGCCATCAGCCCTTGCTCTTCCGCCCCTTTGACCAGTTGGTGAAAACAGCCTTTGTTTTTATATTAAGAAAAGGAAAGACGCTGTGAGCACCCGGCTCGAATAGCGTACCGCTTCCAGCCCCTTCCCCATCACCAAACCCGGGGCTGAAGGCTGCTGGATCAAACCTGCTGCCCTCGCCCTTGCTGGACGTGCTGCCTCCACCCGCCGAGTTGACTCCTGGTGTGTTATTTATTCGCTCCCTGGGATTATGTTCAGGATCGTACTTTTTTGTTTTGAAGCAGAAGAGGACTTTAAATCGAGATTCATCCTCCTTCTTCCAACCACTCTATTGGCCTTGCCCAGCCAACTGGCTTTGTGACGCTCGCTCGCTTGGGTGCCTGGAAGGATAGGGGAAGAGGACGCGCCTGTTGCTTTCTGGCCAACCGCAGACTTCGTGTATAGATCTTAACACCGCCCTCCCCATCCCCTTCGAGGACTCCCCACCCCCGCCCCCACCCCCGCCCCCACCCCCGCCAGGTTCTCTCTGTAGGGTTATATTGCAAAAAAGCAGTAGGGATTTTGTATATAAATGGTTGAACGAGGTCCATTCCAGCGACCCTCTGAAGATGCTGAAGGTGAACTCTGAAGTCTCAGCAGGCAGGAAATTGAAGGAAAGGCACCTCTTCTCTCCTGGCCTGTTGTCTTCTCTTGCCCTCGTTGCGGGGAGGGGAAGGGGGAAAGCAATCGCCCGCCTGAGTTTGAACAGGGAAGCAGAGATGACGTGCTCGGGAGAGGCGCGGGGGAGGGCAGGGCAGGGCAGGGC